ACAACCACTTTGGAAATCGATTTGGCACTTCCTTAAAAAGCTAGAAGTAGAAGTACCATACCATCCAGCTATCCCGCTCCTGGGAATATATCCTAGAGAAATAAGAGCCGTCACACAGATATATGCATACCCATGTTCATTGCAGCAGTGTTCACAACAGCAAAAACATGGAAACAACCTAGGTGCCCATCAACAGATGAATGGATAAACAAATTATGATACATCCACATAATGGAATACTACGCAACAATAAAGAACAATGATGAAGCCGTGAAACATCTTATAACATGGAGAAAGCTGCAGGTCATTATGCTGAGTGAGTTTAGTCAGTCACAGAAGGACAAAATATTGTATAAGATCACTATTATAAGAACTCAAGAAAAGGTTTAAACAGAGAAGAAAACATTCTTTGATGGCTATGAGGGTGGGGAGGGAGGGTGAGGGTTATTTACTAACTAGATAGTAGATAAGGATTACCTTAGGTGAAGGGAAGGACAGCACACACTACAGGGGAAGTCAGCACAACTAGACTAAACCAAAGCTAAGAAGTTTCCTGAATACAACCAAACACTTTGAGGGACAGAGTAACAAGCACAGGGGTCTGGGGACCATGGTTTCAGGGGACATCTAGGTCAACTGGCATAACAAAGTTTATTAAGAAAATGTTCTGTATCCCACTTCGGTGAGTGGCGTCTGGGGTCTTAAAAGCTAGCAAGTAGCCATCTAAGATGCATCAATTGATCCCAACCCACCTGGAGCAAAGGAGCATGAAGAACACCAAAGACACAAGGAAAATACTAATCCAAGAGACAGAAAGGGCCACATAAACCAGAGACTCCATCAGCCTGGGACCAGAACTATATAGTCACCGGCTACCACCGGTGACCACCCTGACAGGGAACACAACAGAGAGCCCTGGATGGAGCAGGAGAAAGGTGGGGTGCAGAACTCAAATTCTAGTAAGACCAGACTTGGTCTGAGACTGGAGGAACCCCAGAAAGCATAGCCCCTGGATTCTCTATCAGCGCAGAACTAAAACAATTTCTGAGGCCAAGTTTTCAGACAGGGATTGGGCTGGACTCTGGGACATAAAGTGATACTCATGAAGAGTGTGCCTCTTGGCTATCAAGTAGATACAAGAGACTAAATGGGCAGCTTCTGTCCAGAGGTGAGATGGGAAAGCAGAGAAGGTTAGCAGGTAGTTGAATGGACATGGGGAATCAGGGGTGGAAAGGAGGAGTGTGCTGTCACAGTATGGAGAGAGCAATTAGAGTGACATAACAATATGTATAAATTCTTGTATGGGAAAAAAAAAATTTATATCAACAAAGCAGTCCTTCAAACATAAAGGCCACAACCAAATATTCTCAAGCATGTAAAAAAAAAAAAAAAAAACTTACTGAACGATAAAATTCAGCCAATCAAGAAATAAAGACAGACAGAATGGGCCACATAAACCAGAGACTTCATCAGCCTGAGACCAGAAGAACCAGATGGTCCCCGGCTACTACCAATGACCACCCTGATAGGGAACATAACAGAGAGTACGTGACATAGCAGGAGAAAAGTGGGGTGCAGAATTCAAATTCCATTAAAAAGACTATACTTAACGGTTTCACTAAGACTGGAGGGACACCAGAAGGCATGGCCCCTGGACTCTCTGTTGGCCCAGAGCTGAAATCATTCCCGAGGCCAACTCTTCAGACAAAGATTAGACTGGACTATGGGACATAAAATGATACTCGTCAAGAGTGTGCCTCTTAGCTCTAGTAGATTCATAAGAATAAATGGGCAGCTCCTGTCCAGAGGGAAGATAAGAAGGCAGAGAGAGTGAGGAGTTGGTTGAATGGACACAGGAAATCCGGGATGGCAAGGAGTGCTGTCATAGTATTGGGAAAGCAACTAGGGTCACATAACAATGTGTGTATAAACTCTTGTATGAGAAACTAACTTGAATTGTAAACTTTCACTTAAAGCACAATAAAAATTAAAAAAAAAAAAAAAGAAAGAAAGAAATGAGCAATTTAGCGATGGCAAAATCATCGAAAATAGTGATAATTAAACCCATTTAAACTAGAATTACGGTTAAACACTTGCGGGAATTATAATTACAGAAAAGAAATGTTACAAATCTTGAAGTAAAAATTATAGTATAGTACCTATAACAAACATAGGGAGGGGAGGGAGAAAGAATGAGGATGCTAATTTCCTCTTCTTTCATATCAGAACTCATACAGCTTCAAAAATAAGTAAAATTTTTTGTAATTTTTTGTCTTAGTTTTCAAGCTTTAATCAATTCTTTCGGGGTAAATATTTATTCAAATTCAGTAACTATTCCTATTTCACTTCAGTTTCTTCTTTTGTCAAGTTCAACCAAAGCATATATGGTATGAACCCATTTCTATAAAATTATTTTTTTCCATCCAGCCAAATATTCATCTTTACACTTAAGAGAAGCTTGGAATGACGTTCACCAAATGTTCATGATGTTTTTTGCTGGGTGGTGAGATTTGGGGGGCTTTTGTTTGTTTGTTTGGTGTCGTTTTGACTTTCTTTGCACTTTATTACTTAAAATATTCAAAATGTGCAGGTGTCGCTATTACAACAATAATCAAACAATAGCTCTTCTTAGACTGAAGAATTTATCTTTGTGGTTTATTTTAGATTTTTTATTTTTTTATTATTTCTTGCACTCTATACACAAATACTATGCTTGATTTTTTTTAAAGACTTTATTTTTTAAGAATTAAATTTTTAAGAAGCATCTGCTTTTCATTTGGAGCTTTTAGGAAATGAGAAAAAAATAAGTCACTGAAATGAAAGACGGAGAGAGAGTCTTTACAATACAGAAAAGAAACTCACTGTCACGGCAGCCACTCTTCGAGGCTGGGTCACGCCCACAACTCTTCCTTCGGCTGTCCAGCCAGCTTCTGCAAGGTACTACAAATAAAATCACATCTAAGTATACTCCTGACGGCACTTCTCTAGAAACACTCTCCCCCAAGATGAGCCTGCTTTGTTTAAAATCACTTTTAACAGAAAGAAAATGACAGATGGTTTGGCCCCAGCAGACAGTCTGGAAAACTATTTCACAGTTGAGGAATCTGAGGCTTCGAAATGTTAGGTAATTTGCTTAAGTTCACATCAGAGCTAATAAACAGAAGAACCAAGGCACAAATTCAGCCTCTTACTCCCTAGTACTGCAAAATATCCATGTACTAAGCTGCCATGAGGAGCCCTGGTGGCACAATGGTTAAGTTCTCGGCTGTTAACCAAAAGGTTAGTGTTCGAACTCACCAGACGCTCCATGGGAGAAAGACCTGGTAGTTTGCTTCCATAAAGATTACAGCCTTGGAAACCCTATGGGGCAGGTCTACCTTGTCCTATAGGGTTGCTATGAGTCCGAATCAACACGACAGCAGCCAGTTTGGTTTTTTGCATTTGCAAGGAGGGGGTTTAAGCTGCCCTGAAGAACAAACAACTATACATGGGGAACTCAAAACAGTGCCAAATCTGTAGAAGAAAAAACTTCAAAGTTCGTAACAGACAGCTCAATACAAATATCAACCATACAAAAGATTTGGGTCAAATTAAATAAAAATAATTAGATTTTATACATATTAATATATCTACCATTAGATATTAGTATACATACAATTAGATTATTTATGTTAATATATGCACTTAAAAATCCAAAATGGTTAATAGTGGTTATCACAGTTACATATTTTTATAACATCTAAATTGTTTTACAGTGAATATGTACTACTTCTATAATAGAAAAAAGATTAAAAATGCTATCACATGTGTCTGCTCATCTGTGCAAAAGATGTGTCATGGATTGAGTTGTGTCCTCCAAAAATATCTGTCAGCTTGGCTGGGTCATGATTCCAGTATTGTATGATTGTGTAATCTGATGTGATTTCCTTATGTGTTGTAAATTCTATCACTATGATGAGATTATATGTGATCTCCTTATGTGTTGTAAATTCTATCACTGTGATGAGGTTATACTGATGCGGCTGACAAGATTAGACAGTGTCTTAATGCAATCTCTTTTGAGAAATAAAAGAGAGAAGCAAGCAGAGACACATGGGAACCTCATACCACCAGAAAGCAGTGCCAGGAGCAGAGTGCGTCCTTTGAACCTGATGTTCCTGCCCTGAGATGCTCCCAGACCAAGGAAAGACTGATGACAAGGACCTTCCCCCAGAGCCGACAGAGAGAGAGAGAGCCTTTTCCTGGAGGTGATGCCCTGAATTTGGACTTGTAGCCTACTGGACTGTGAAGAGAATAAATTTCTCTTTGTTAAAACCATCCACTCGTGGTATTCCTGGTACAGCAGCACAAGATGACTAAGACAAGATGTACAGGAAGGATAAACCAGAAGCTAAAGAGATTGGTTGTCTATAGGCTGCGGGTAGGAAAGGGGTGGAAAGAAGGGAGGAATAGAAAGAAGGGAGGGATGAGGAAGGAGTGACACTGCTCTGAGTCAATCTTTTTGCGTAGCTCTGACTCTTAGAACCATAGTCATGGTTCACATACTCTTCACACACCCAGAAAATAAACAATAAAAGCCAACCAGGATGGGGAGGACACCCAAAATGAAATCCAAACACTAACAAATGACCCTAAGATGGATTAAAAATGAATAACATAAACACACCAAAATGGGTAGAGAAGAAAAGAACTAACTTAAGTAACTGTGGACTACAGTTCATTGCATCTTGACTGGGTGCTGTAAGACTAAAGAAAAAAAGAACTGAACATAAATGCTGTATCGCAGTTACTAAACATATTTCTCACAGGGGTTTGGGTTAGTAATCCTGAAACTAATTTATGTGCCTACTAGAATTGAACAAATAAATAAATATATTGAAGATAATGAGGACTGGGTTTCTCACTGATGAAGAAAAACTACAAATAAGGAAAGGCTTACATGAGCCCTAAGGGGTTAGACTGGAATCAGAAGTATCAGCATAAACTCCTGGTTTTTAATACAAATACATATAGATAGATAAAGAAATATAGATGCTTTTATATGTGTGCGTTAGTATTCATAAATATACATCCTAAGTCTGCTCACTGAGAAGGCCTAGAAGCAGTAACATCTTAGTAACAATGAACACCCTAGCACCCAGATCTTGATTTCTAAACACCATTCTCCAATAAAAGGAATCGAGGCTCCCTGGAGAAGTGGTTGATCCCAGGGCTGGTGCAGTGATATATAAGATGAGCCTGGGACATCTTGTGGTACCAGAAAGTAAGGAAGTGCTCAAAACGAGGATGGGGGCTTCTTGAAACAACACAAGAGCCAACCTGAAGCAGCGCCTAATGGTCAAAACTGGAACAAACAGAGCAACAAAATAAATAATGATAGTATTAGATTTTAACCCAACCCATTTGGACATCAGTATTTTTAAATAAATACCCACGAGTCCATACTGATATGTATAAATAATCAAATAAATAAATAAATGGGGGAGAAGGGACAGTTCTTCCTTATAGAAGAATCCTATTTAATAAAAAGTAGAAGGAAAATAGAAAACAACCATTAGGCAAACATTACAGTAATTGCTGCAGACAGAACCACTGGGGGATGCTAAAATTAGTAGGTAAAAGTTTAAGGAGAAACAGTATTTACAGTCTCAAAGTACTTCCCTGAAGACCTTTACTAACTATAAAGGGAAAGACAGTAACTTTATAGGCAAAACCTGGCACCTTAACAAAGTGATCAGGGCTAACAGCAACAGTGATAAGACATATCAGCATCACAAACCCCTTAATATGATGCACTAAGGACACATCATTTCTGTGGTATTCTTACCAAAAATGCATAAACTCAGCTGCTAACTGAAAGGCTGGTGGTTCAAATGCACCCAGAGGCATCTCAGAAGAAACGTCTGACAATCTACTTCCAAAAAAATCTGCCACTGAAAACCCTATGGAGCACAGTTCTACTCTAACACACAGGGGGTCTCCATGAGTCAAGACTGACTACAGCAACTGGCTGGTTGGTTGATTGGTTGGTAATCATGAGAAAACATCACACAACTCCAAACTGAGGTACATTCTACAAAATAAATACCCAGTACTCTTTAAAAGGGAGCCCTGGGGGCACAGTGGTAGGAACTCGGCTGCTAACCGAAAGGGTGGCAGTTCGAATCCACCAGCCGCTCCCTGGAAACCCTATGAGACAGCTCTACTCTGTCGTATACGGTCGCCATGAGTCAGAATCAACTCAGTGGCAACGGGTTTTTTACTCTTCAAAAGTCTCAAGATTATGAGAGATGAAGAAAGACCAAGGAATTCTCACAGACTAGGAGAGATTAAGGAGAAATAACAGCTAAACGTAATGCAGAATTCTTGATTGAATCCTGCAACAGAAAGAGAACATTAGTGGGAAAATTGGTAAAATTTAAATAAGAGCTCTTCGTAGTTTAGTTACTAGAATTATACCAAGGTTAATCTCCAGCTTTTGATTATTGTACTAGGGGAAGTGGTGTGAGGGGTATAAGGGAACTCTGTTATTTTAGCAACTTCTCTGTTTGTCTAAAACTAGTTAACAATAAAGTTAGGAAATCTGACTGCAAGTCTGGAACAAAATGTTTTCAATAATGTTGTTTTTTTCGGTATAAAAATTGGAAAGGTTTTCTCTTTTGTATCAAATACATACACAAAATACTACCATCCACCCGAATCAACACAAATGCAAAAACAGAACTATAAGAATAATAGCGAATAATTACTGAGTATCTTACTAAGTGCCAGGAACCATGCTATGTGACTTACATGCATTACCTCATTTAATCCTCACAATAAATCCTCTAAGAAAGGTAATATCATCATCAATACTTTAAAGATGAGGAAGTAGGGAGGTTGCATAATCTGTCCAAGGAAACAGATAAAAATCTAAGGGCTGGGATTCAAGATCAGCAGTCTGACTCCAAAGCCCAGTCACATAACCAGGACACAATTCTACCATCAAAACACACACATACACAGTCAATCTCTTAGTAGTAGTATTAAGCAAAAGAAAAATAATTCCCATGAAAATAAACAACCTCTCTATGAAGCTAGTCTCCTCAATACACCTGATTCAGACTTCCACTGTATGCTGATAAGTGCTAGAAATTTAAATAGGTAGAAATTTAAAGACACTACAAAAGTAAGTATGGTGCTGCCGTCAGGAGGCAATAGATGTCATGAAGGGACGCTGGGCTGAATCCATCTCAGTCCTATCCATTCTCTTTACTCACTGCCGTTGAGTTGATTCCATCTCATAGAGACACTGCAAGACACAGTACAACTGCACTGTAGGGTTAGCGAGGCTGTAAATCTTTACGGAAGCAGACCGCCACACCTTTCTCCTGAGGAGCAGCTGGTGGGTCCAAACCGCCGACCCTTCAGTTAGCAGCCAGGCTCTTAATCACCATGCCACCAGGGTTCCTTCGACTTTCTTTAGGGAGCCTCAAATCTGGTCTTCTGGTAAAGAATGGAATTAGGAAAAACTCCACGAAAAATAGCACTAAAGAAAATTATAGTAAAGAAGAGCTTGTTCTCCTGGTCCATGGTTTTGGGGAAAAATGTGTGTGTGCGTGTATACACACACACACACACACACATATATAATCTAGGTTCTACACATAACCATAACCCATTGCCACTGAGTCGATTCTGACTCATAGTGGCCCTACAGGACAGAGAACTGCCCCGTATGGTTTCCAAGGAGCGCCTGGTGGATCTGAACTGCCGACTTTTGGTTAGCAGCTGTAGCTCTTAACCACTATGCCACCAGGTTCTACATATAGTTTGTGGAAATTCAAAATTGTTAAGTGTTTTGTGCTTCAGCATGCTGTACTTTTCCAAGGAAAGATACTATATAAATCTAGAAAAACAGTTTGTTGAGAAAAATCTCCTCCGTGTCTTTGCTGTAAGCA